GACACCACATCATATACTACAGCATCTTTAGTGATTTATAAGACAGATATTTTCTTACAAAAGAAGAAACCAAGCCATCGATCATTGATGAGGTCACATAACTGGATAAGGACTGGACACTGGACACTGAGCCAGTTAATGCCAAAGGGAGACAGCAATTCCGTTATACCCCTGTATTCCTCAACTCTGACTCAAGTGAATGTGTTGTGTCATCCTGAAACATTAACCCTGTTGTCACAGTAAGAGTTCCCTGTGTGTGCTTCATGGGACACTCGAACTAGTATGATCATTTCCAATGAGGTAAGCAAATCCTCAAAACTAATAAAAGACCAGTGATGCTTTGAGTGTATCAAATTCCCTCTCTATTTCTAAGACCTTTCTTCCTTGAATCCAGTAGCTAACAATTGGGGTTGAACTTCAATTATTCTACTTAAAATACCCCTCACTTTCATCTTTCTAAAAAGGAACTTCTAAATAGAAAATGAAGCTCACTTGATTTTTTGCTCACAGAATGTGTGGAGCATTGGTGTCATCTGCGCCATCCTGGGACGTTATAGCACACACTTATAACAAAGCAGGAAGGAATCTATACAATTGATTGAGCTGTACCTGGAAAACATGGTGGCCACAATTATAAATATTTCTGGGCTTTTGAGGATCAATTGTAATTTGACTTTTCCTTGGGCGGCCAGCTCACAAACAAGGACACAGAGACTGATTATTAATTATGAAAGCTCGGCCTTAGCTTCGTTCCTACCTAGGTCTTAGAACTAAACCCGTATCTACTGCTCTACCTTCTTTTATGTGGCTCTGTTACCTTTTCTCTGTATTTCCCAACCTGCTCCCTCCTGCATGCGGTTGGCGATCCCCCTTTCTTCCTCCTAGATTTCTCTCTCTGCCCAGAAGTCCCACCTATCTTTTCTGGCTAGCTTGTTGGCTTTTCAGCTTTTTATTAAGCCCATCACAGCATCTTCACAGTATACAAATAACCCACAACAATCAATCATGGGGAACAGCAATAAATGCTCATCGTCAAAAATAGCTATAATATTAAAATAGATTGATTTAATCATACATATATATTATATATAAAATCTTAAAACAGACTGATTTGGATATAAATAATTATATCCAAAGCCAAGCCTAATGAGAAAATCAAATGATTCAAAATATAAGCCACAAGTATATACAAATAAAAGCCTATTTGAATAACTACCACGAAAAAATATCACATGACACCTAAATTCTCTGTACTTAAGCCATATGGTTCACATCAAAACTACCATAAAATGACTGAAAGATTTATTTTGGCATTGAGGAAATCTCACTTGGGAGCAGATGCCCAGATAGCTTGGAGACAGCAGGTTTCACTGGGTGACTAATCGCATCACTGGGGCATTTTTGTGAAGTCTATAAAAAGGATATTTAGTAGTAAAGTACATGAATATTGATGACAGCAAACACTACGGGCACTTGAAGACATCACGGAAGAGCACCACAACAAGTGTCCTGAATCTTCAATCAAGTGCGGCAGCTCATTCCCATTCACAGAGAACAGATGCCCTTTGGTTGACGTTGACTCTTTCAGACAAAAATCAATGAGGAATTTGCCTGAATAAAATGCCCACGAATAAACTCTTCAAGTGCCGTTAACTCAACAATAATTTGTCATTTAATCCTTCATATCCTTAAAGTAGTCAATTCTGTAGAAAGTCAAAATCATTATAAATTTTCTTTTATACTACTGAGAAAGTCGATCTTGGAGAAGGTATGGAAGAGCTGTCTAGACAGTTCAGCTGGCAATGGACCATGTGGCCAAGCCCAACAACCTGAGTTTGAGCCCCAGGACTTACATAATGGAAAAAGAAAGATTGTTGACTAAGGTTTCTGTCCTGCCTGGTTCCTGCAGTCGTTAAGTCCCAAAGAAATCACACAGAGGTCTACATTAGTTATAAACTGATTGGCCCATTAGCTCAGGCTTCTTATTAACTCTTATAACTTATATTGGCCCATAATTCTTGTCTGAGCTAGCCACGTGACTTGGTACCTTTTTCAGTGAGGCAGTCACATTCTGCTTGCTCTATGTCTGGCTTCCTCTCTATCTGGGTGATGATTGTAGACTGAAACTTCCCTCTTCCCAGAATTCTCATTGCCCTGCCTTTACTTCCTGCCTGGATACTAAGTCAATCAGCATTTATTTAAAATACAAGTGACAGGGTACAGACCATTGTCCCACAGCAAGAGCCAACTCCTGAAAGTTGTCCTCTGGCCTCCACATGTAAGTTTTGGCACAGGTACATAAATAAATAAATGTAATTTTAAATTTTAAAAAGACTGTATGAGAATAATAAGAAGCACATACGAAGTCATATGACAACTATCTTAGAGTTCTTCTTAGCTTACTTGGCTATTAAAGAATGCTAAAAAAACCAGAACACATTCCTCCTAAAACTCAGAATGGCTAAAACAGGGTAATTGCTGTGAGCTAGAGACTAGCCTGGGCTACACAGTGAGATCTTGTCTCAATAATAATAGTTATTTTTATATTTAATATAATTAACTATATAATAATAATAATAATAATAATAATAATAATAATAATAATTGCCCCAAATTCCATTTTGGACAAAAGGGACTTGAATTTTAAAGGCAGTTAGTTAGAGTAGTATATAATCTCTGCTTCTATTTTATTAATTTCAGTCCTCAAATTGATTCTTTCCTGTCATCTACTCCTGGGTGAGTCTGATTCTTTTTGTTCTAGAGCTTTCAGGTGTACTGTTAAGTCGCTACTGTGTGATTTCTCCACTTTCCATATGTAGGCACTTAGTGGTATGAACTTTTCTCTTAACACTGCTTTCTTAGTGTCCTGTAAGTTTGGGTATGTTGTACTTTCATTTTTGTTGAATTCCAGGAAGTCTTCAATTTCTTTCTTTATTTCTTCCTTGACCCAGGGGTGACTCAGTTGAGCACTGTTCAGTTTCCATGAGTGTGTAGGTTCTCTGCAATTAGTGTTGCTGTTGAATTCTAACTTTAAACCGTGGTGCTCTGTAAGATACAGGGGTTATTCCATTTATTTTGCATCTATGGAGGTTTGCAAACTTAAGAGAAGAAATGAGTCCTAAGAGGTCTTCAGTCCGGTTATTGTACCGCAGTTGCCAACCAGTAGTGATGACATCATAAACTCACTGCAGCAAAGCTCAGACAGAATAAACTGGGCGGTGGTGGTGCACACCTTTAACCCCAGCTCTCGGGAGGCAGAAGTAGACAGATCTCTGAGTTCAAGGTCAGCCTGGTCTACAAAGTGAGTTTCAGAGAAATTCAGAAAGTCACAAACACAGAGGAACCCTGTCTTAAAATATAAAAAGAAACAAAATAAAAACAGAAACAAAAAAAGGCACATGACTTTAATCCCAGCACTCAGGAGGCAGAGGCAGGCAGATCTCTGTGAGTTTGAGACTAGCCTGGTTACAAAGCTAGTTCCAAGTCAGCCAGGGCTACACAGAGAAAACTGTCTTGAGAAAAGAAAGAAAGAAAGAAAGAAAGAAAGAAAGAAAGAAAGAAAGAAA